CCGCGCAACACCAATTTGCGTCAGGAAACTCGTGACCACAGCACGAGCACTTCGTTTGAAGAGCCAGGCCAGACTCTGGACGCCATGTTGCGTGTTTATTGAAAGTGGTACAAAGTAACTAGTGTTTTCAACAGGAACAACCAACAACAATAAAGGTGTACGAGATACAATATTTAAAAGATATGCTTTGTAAATATGTTTCAATGCCTTGTAACGAGTCGATCATTTTTGTATCTGGCTGCATTTAAAAGTCCCGCTGATATTGTGACATAAACCGGTGTTTGGAGCTCATCGGCTGAAGTTGGGTACTGCACGCAAGGGCTGCCCTGGCCGCGCCTCCAGCTGCGACGTCATTTCAACGTCGATGGTTTGTGTACGATGGTTTTGTTTCTGATCATTACTCTGTGAATGAAAAATTCCCATAATTACAAGTTTGTAGAAGTGAAAATATGAAATAATAAATTTTGGTAACATAGTGAGCCAAAGGAACGCTGTTTGCATTACCTCCTAGTATTTCGTGCGTCTTGTGTCGCGCTCCGCAGGTGGCGAAGCGGTTGGCGCAGTGGTTGGCGCGGGGGGCGCCTGCCATCCTTCCGCGGCCGCATCCTTCAATGGCGAACTGAAGACTGGCCCTGGAGAGAGCATGGCGCCACCACGCTTAGTTTCGCCCATTATTATTCTTGGCGTTGTTATCACTTAAATTATAATTATAAAATAATGAACACGGTCAATGCCAAATTAAATTTTGTTGTTCACGAATTTTATTTTAAAGTTCACTAAACTACCTTTAAAGTATCGGTATCCAAAAACATCAATGGTTTTAATAAGAAAAATAGTAGACTATTGCACCTCAACCACCGCACCACAATCACCGAACGCTCACTCACAGCTGTGTTCATTCCCATCCGCAGCGCAGGAGGCGCGACTTCGAGCTTCGGCTGCGTCGGCTTCGGCAGCTTTCCATGCTTGCACCATTCACTCAGTTTTGTTAGATGACAAATCGTAACACCACGTACGTAAAATCTCAATTTTCATTATTTTTGCGACTTCGCATCTAATAGAAAATCATCTCTAGAAATTAAAAATTCTCTGATTAGTTACTAATTAATTATAAATGAGTCCTAAGGTTTTCAATAACTTACGCAGCCCTTTCGTGGAGAGGAGCCGCTTCTTCCGCTCTGAAGCCTTTGCGAGCCTTCCAAAGTATAGAGATACGGCACAATTACCAATGCCTCTTGGTATATAACTAACAGACAACTACATAAAGAACTGGACATAGAAGCAATTAACAATTACATTTTTTATCTGTCGTCCAAATTCTTCACCAACCTCCGAAACGTTCACCAGTACCAGCCACTTTAACCTTGGTAAAACCACCGTTGCTCCTACAAAAATCAAATTCCGCCTCCCAAAAGATCTGTTCCTTCCCCCATAAACTGTATCCACTTACCTTCAAACTCGTAAAATCAGTAACGTCGTCTTAGAGATACCTAATGAGGAAGTCCTCAGAAATAGGGGTAGGGTGCGCTAATTCGCAGTTCCTCGCACCTTCAAACTACTGTAGTGCATCCATCCATTACATTGCATATATAAAAGCTAACATTCGCTTGTAAAATGTCAATCCCAGTGATCTGGTTAAATACAATATTAAAAAACAGGCAGCGTGGATAATTACTGCCTCAGTGCTTTCGTTGAAAACAAGCATCCTGAAATAAAATATACTTTAGATCTCTTCCTCATAATTGTATCCATAATAAATTCATAATTGTATCCATAATTTTGTATTGAGAGAATTGATATGATAACGTTCTAAAGTTGTATAAATTGTACCATTATTAAATGCATAACATTTTCATTACTAGGGGAGTACCTCCCTATGTTATTAATTAATCGAATATTGAGCTTTGAGTGACTTGAGGGCAAAATTGCCCATTTTTAAACTCTCTTCCATATCAGCACAAATTCCTGTAACGTCTTTAATTATAGCCACAATCCGTTAACGTTGCATACACAACATAGTTCAGTTGCGCAACTTTGTTGCAGTCGTTTCGCGTTGGATACGAGGGCGCATTTCCACGAAGCGTCGATGGCATTCTGGGCCTCTACTTCTCAGAAACTCCAGGCGATCGTTAAAATCCTAGAAGTGCGAAAGAACTGGATAACGTCGTCTAGTACTTACATCATCAAACTATGTTTCGCTACTGGCGTCTGAACTGAGAACAAACCTTCATTTCGTAATTCTCTTCAGAGAAAAAAAGGAATTCATGCTTGATTACTAACACTTAGAAATAACGATTTGACTCCTACAAGTTGACGGCAAAATCCCAAAACGTATCAAATAAAAAACTTTGAATACATCTGTAGAAAAAATGCTAAATTATTATTCTGTGTATACAACAATATATTAACGATATGGCTTTACTGTGTTAATATTTGAAACAATATCAAGTCCGGTATTGTGAGAGGAGCGTAGCATCTAAAAGGCTGCGAAATCTCACTTTTGATTCGTTATTATCTCACAGATAACGGTGAAGTTGAGAAATCCTATCTAATCTTTCATTTAATTTTCATATACCATATAATCCGTGAAGCGCTATCATACAGTATGTTAAGGTCATGTCTCGTTGAATGTCAACGAAATATATTTCAGCGGAATTCCAAAGAGTCATGTTTACGATTAAATAAAATATACTTACGCTTCACATTCGGTCTCTTGTACATTTGAAATATAGTTTTATTTAACAAATTTACAGAAGATCAGCTTTATAAATAAAGAAATTAAAGAAAGTATTTTCTTTAATGTAAGTTTCGTTCGTTGGGACGTTTTATGTGTAAATAAAAAGTGCTTTGATTCTCACACTCATAAGAATTAACTTCGCAATATCTCGTTTCCTTAGAAATTCTCGTTCTGCTGACAGCCTATCGTCTATCTTTTATAAATAACATGGAGCAACGTGTTTTAACCTAAGTGCCATCAACGACAACCAGACGTAACTACTAGATACAACACAGCCGAAACGTGACAGCTGTAATATTCCTTCGGAGAACGTAGAAGCACATTTCGCGTGTAAATAATAAAGGAAGCAGTCCAATTTAGCGCGGCGAATGTCTCTCGAAGCGACCGCACCCATAATGCATCGCGTCGCCGGCGGCCAGAAGTCCGCTTGGGAGCTGGCGGAGGGGAGATTGCAAAGGTGGAGGCGCTGCTCGTCCGCCGACCGCCTGCGCTCGGTTCACCTGGCGACCTCTCGTTTACGTCGACGTACTCACTTCAATTGTTTTTGCTACTCGCGTTTCGTGAGGCATCGTTGCACTAATAATTTTCTATCATCAGTTTCGTTATTGCAGAATACTTGAGGTTTCTTCAAAATATTAAATGTTATCTCGTCTCTTAAATGTTTTATTTAAGAACCTTTAACTCTGCCTTATTTTTTTCTAATTTCCTTTCTCTGTAAAAATCAGTCAATTGTTGTATCGATACCGTTACATCATAATTGTATCGCATCTGTTCAATACGATGTCATTCCGTCCTGCAACTGATTCCTTAAGAAAGAACTTAATGAACGACTTTCTTCTTCAAACATCCTCGCACAATTTCCCTCTCGTCCTTGTGCAAGCTCCGTGAGATTCGTGCAGCCTGGATACTCCACGTTTCGCACCTTTTTAAAATCCCCTCTACTTATTTCACCAGAGCTCTTCCTCTGTTTTCCACGCTGCACTTTCAAAGCTCATGATGCACCCACGAGGCTTCTTTCCCCTCGCCTTTTGTGCCATTTGGCTCCTTCGAGTCCCTTTCAGTGGCTTGGCATCTCTCGACGCCCGTTTCTCAGCTCTAGACGATGCTCTACACTGCTTCACTCGGTTTCATCTTATTTCCATTGCAACTTATTTTTTCTGGTAGGTTGTCTCTGCGCTATTTCGCTTATCAATTCAAATTTCTTTATCTATGTGACATTCGCCAGTTATGTCCTTCATTTCTTTTTCTGTCATATTATCTCTATATTATATCTTATTCTTGCAGTATCTTTTTCTGTAAATTTGCCTTCCATTCATTTTTCATTTCGATAATTACTCCAATATTCAAATCAAAAAGCACATTTTCGTTTGTAGAATTTTAACATATTTTCTTCTCTTTTCATTAACTTTTAATTTTTCACATTATTCTCTTATATTTACCTTTTTCGGACGCGTTTTGATATTTACTTACTTCAGCTTCTCTCACCAATTTCATCCTTTGTCTTAACCGTCTTTCATTTCCGTTATTCGGCGTAATTCCGTTGCTTTAATGCGCCCTCCTCCTCCCCGCCTGCGCCGACGCGCGCGCTCGACTCCGACTCCGACTCCGAGTCCGACGTCGGGTATCGACCTGCGCGTCCCGCGGAGTTGCCAACTGCCGGATATTCCCCCTGAGCGATCGCCCCCCGCCCATGCTGGCCCTGCCCTGCGCCCTCTTTTCTCCCTTATTATATGCCCCAAACGCCCGCTCTTTCACAACCATTTCTTTGTCCATTTTATTCAACATTTCTTTTTGGTTTCTTCTTTCTCATCATTTTGTCTCCCTCTCACCTTTCTTTCCCTGCTTTCTTTACATCTTTCCACACCCAAACCCTTTTGTTTCTTCCATCCTTCTTCTCTCCTTCCCTTTTCTCCTCCATTTTCACTCTTCCCCTCTGTCTTGATCTCTTCCTCCTGTTTCCATTTTTCTGTTGTGTTCTTTCTCTTATGATTGTTCCAGTCTTTTTCATCCTTTTTCTTCATTTTTCTGCCCATTTCTTCTTTCCTTTCCCCATTTTTTGCACCGCTTTCATAATTATTTTTCTTCACACTTCTTTTATTTGTTTGTTTTTCTAATTTCTCCTCTTTCAGATTTATTTTCCCCTCCTCTTTCTTTATTATCTCTGCCTCTTCTGGCCCCATTCGATGCCTGTGTTGCCGCCCGACCTGGGATTCGGCCGCGCTGCTCAGCCCCCGCCAGGCCGCCGCCGCCGCCCATCGCGACGATGGCCCTCGAATCAAGGCACTCGCAGCTTCATTACGCCAGACGCCCTCCCTGGGCGGCGTCGGTAGCAGCAAGATGGGCTGAGCGAGGGCGAGGAGCCACGATGCCAGGTCACTTGGCCTATGTGGGGAATGGCGCGCTTTGTGGCTCTCCGAAGGACAAACGCGAATGCAAAACAAGAGAAAACATTTTTTATCCTAGAAAGTGTAATGGTATACTAAATATGTTCATTTTTACAATTCGATATTTGAATTCATTACATTTTTTGCCTAATGTATTTATTTCTTACGTTCTATTCATGTAAGTTTAATTACCCGCACCTTTCCATTGATGAAAAGAATGCAAATAACAGATCTTGCATTTGTATTAAAAGATATTCTCTTCGGTGAAAAGGATACTGAAACTTTTAACAGAAAAATATGGTACTTGAAAATAAATAAATATTTATTGAATCTTTTCATGAAGAAACTTACCTAAACAAAGCAGAATCTTAAATAATTAACAGTTTACAAACTTGAACCATAAGAATCAGAAAGGTTTTCTTTTTAAATTCTGAGAAAATATTTTATGATGAACTTCCAACGAGAAAGTGTTATCTAATACACTGGGCTTAGTGAAAAGTAGATATATAAGAGAGACTAAAATAAGTAACAGTTTAAATAAGTGTAAATGCTATTTTCAATTATATAAAATTTAACAATCGCAAATCGTTCTCTAAAACACTCTTAATAAATATACTCTAAATTGAACAACACTTGAGAACATTTATACAGAACTAAGTAAACCGATTTGCAATTCTTCAGTGAGAAAAGAGCTTTTTAGCCCCAAAACTGAATACATGTGTCACATGGAAGATAACCAAATCAAAACATCTAACTTATCTGAACTCCTAACCTGGAATGAATTATTTTTATATTGTATGTCGTTTGTAGTTTTCTGTTTTTATTATTAGCACAAAATATTTTCAGATGAACTTCGTCAAAACTTCTCTGAACCTACAGAAAAGTTTTCTTTCCATGTTTTTCCATTGATACCTTGAAATAATATGCTTTAAAAGTAATGTTTATATTTCAGAGCCTATATATCTTTCGCAAATAATTTCTTCACTTACCAGTTGTCACCCAATGTCTATAATTGTGTTTCTAAATTGAACAAGCGAGGCTATTTTGATCCATAATGTTTAGTAATAGCCGGTAATTTAATACTTTTATGTTGTGAAACCTCTTTTCTCGAAAGTAGTCGATCTGATAATTTTACGTATATGCTGTATCCATTCTAGTTTTTAAACTGTTTTAAGATCAAAGGAATGATTTGCAAAAGAAAATTTAGCAGATGATGCCGAGTCGGAATTGGTTAATAGCACTAACTGAAAAATAATGAAATCGAATTGTAATTTCTCATGTTGGATATCCCAGTTCCTTCCATGCTTTACATGTTTCCATATAAGTATTTGAGGGTGAAAGAGAACTCTTTAATGAAGAGGTGATTGGCTCATGAAGGAACAACATCAAGTGAGGCATTCAACGAACAACACGTTGCGGTGCCTATGGGGTTCGAGTCCCGACGGCGACAGGATTTTCGACACCAGCCAGATAGCTAGATCGATATCTATCGTTGTCAGCAGCATAATTTTATAGGCCGGCTGCTCTAAACGGTATATTCCCGTTGTTTCTCCGATCAATACCAGGCGAATGTCGGAGCAGTACTCAACCAAACGAGCCAAGGACCGCGCGCGATCTTTCCTTCCCATTTTCTGTTCTATTCTTACCCCTAACTCACACTTACACTAACATGCACTACACTATCACACATGCCGGGAGACCGGTCAGGAGCTTGGAGCTTGTCCCGGCCGGGGCGGTGCCCCGCTGGTGGAAGATACCTCGTTGGGGGAAACCCAGATACCCGACGGTAGGTCGGCGCCGGATCTCGTCATCCAGCGGGCAAGATGAGGGCGGCGCCAGCGCGGAAAACGAGCGCCGATTGCCCGGCAGCGCGTCGCTCCGTCGACCTGCGCTTTGACGCAAGAATGAGCTGTGCGTCGCGTTTTTTAATTGAAATTTCTTTTTAATATCTTTCAGCGCACGGTACATTCTTAATTAGATGCTGAAGTCAACTTGTTAAAAAATATCTCTCGGTGCGGAAATATGAACGCGGCGGACAATAAAGGCGAAATGAGCGTGAACGGCGTTAATTCCGCTCGGTGGCGAGAGAGTCACGAGCAGATGGAAGGGGGATGACGGTAGCGGTGGCGCAGAAGGGATTGGGGGAGGGGAGGGGCGGCCGCCGCCGCGGGCTGGGCAGGAAATGAAGTGGACTGCGGACGTAGTTGGGCGGTCGTGGAAGGGGCAGCTCGCACCTGTAGCTGCCTCTGCCGTCGCGCACAATTCGCGGCTGCAACTCGCGGCGAAATCCGCCCGTCGATCGATCTCTCGGAGGCGCGGCGGCTTTTGAGCCCAAAATCAACGTCACGAATGGGCGCTCTCCACGAAACGCGCTGTCTATTTGTCACAAGTCGCCAAGTCACCTGCGCACAATTTTGCTCACTGCGCTTGAAGGCGTTTCCAAGCCACGGTTTTCTAGTTCTTTCTCCTCATACCTAAGCGAAATATACGTCTCGCCTTATTTACATTAAACCGAACGAAAAACTTGAATGTTGACCTTTCCAGTAATATGATTGGCTGGGACAGATGAATGTATCAAAGTCAAAGAGTTTGAAAACGTTTCTTTTAAATATGTTTAATCCAATTTTGCAATGAAGTAAAATTTTGGATATTAACTTTCCTTAGCACAATAATGCAATAAATTTATCTTTCAGTTTTAAAGTGATAACAGATACGTATTTCCGTCATCGCGTGTGTGTCATATCGACATATACTGCGAAATTCACAAGAAGACTTCAGTTTTACTTATAACGTTTTTTATGTCATTTTCTTGTGTGTTTTTAAAAAAATTATCCCTATTTAGTGTTTAGAATTGTGTCTTAAAATTCACTCACGAAACAACTGTTTCGACAATCGCCCAACATGCAACAAATCTCTCATTTCCATTTCAGAAAGCTGCTACCTGAAAATGTATATGTATACGGTTTTCCCTCTCAAGGAAGTGTTAAGACATGTTCACCTGCACGAAAAGAAAGGACGTTGAGCGCAGATTTATTTATGTCCTTTCTAACCATGTCCGTGACCGTTGATGCCATGCGCATATGATGTTATCGTGTCTTCGGGGTTGTAAAAATGTTGGAAAGGTTTTTTTTTAAATTCAAATTGTCGTATCGTTGTCGATGCTCTCTTGATAGGATTCTCGACTTTTGCTTTTATGGAAACCAACCTGCTATGAATGCTTTTGCCTAAATCTTTTTCGAAAGCCTTGCTTCATGTTTTTAGCTTCAGGGTGATAGTTGATAGGTTATTAGATATTGATACTTTTCAACAAAACATTACTTACCTTCGAAAGACATATTTCCATGATCAGAACTTTTATGGAGTTTGTCTACGAACATTGACTATTTAGCGTTATATTCCTCGCCTCATTTTTCTTTGACATAGCAGTACATTTCATCGTCATTATCTATTTTCCAGCTGTTTTGAAACAATTCCTTTGTTTCCGCGCGGCGATGGTGTAACGGTTAGCATATAGGTCTGTTGTGCCCAAGTTGGCGGGTTCAAATCCGATCGAAGCCGTGGATTTTTAAGGGCGAAAAAATCCTTCGTACGCCTACCTTCAGAGGGGAAGTAAAGCCGAATGTCCCATAATAGTAGATTTACTTGCATGTAAAAGATCCTCAAGCCTAAATGACGCCTCTGAGCTAAATTCAAATCGCCTGTTTCTCGCCCAAGAAATTACTCCTTTGTCTGCTAGTTGGGAAAAAAGGAGCGGAGCAAAATTTGCGTGGTCAGACAGAAGAGCAGGCCTCATGGCCTGAGTCTCGCCACATAAAATAAAGCATTTATTCAATTTTCATTTATTACTCCTTTTCACTATTTAATTAATTCTGTAAAGGCATTTACTTTCAAAGCACGGCCTTAGTAATTGCTTGCAAGGTGACGTGAACCTCTTTGTCACATTGCATCTGGTTATAATAATTTACTCTCCTCATCACATTGTATAAAAGTTACAATTTCTTGCTAAAAATAATTTACCCCAGTCGTTTATTTCTTACCTAATTTAATTCTCCCCATAACTCGTCCAAATTTAATATTTCATGTAATGGACTAGCTTAGCGTGGCGCCTCCGTCGGATATGTTCATGTTAAAAAGGTTTTTTTGTGCTTTGCAAGATCGTATTAAACATTTTACAGTTGCCTGACTCGACCATTTTCGAGCAGAGAATTTCACATGAAAAAGAATCAATTAAAATACTTGTATAATGTTTTGTTTCATTACAATAAGCGGTATAATTCTCCTAATTCACAGCGATTTATTCATGTAGTACTTATCTGTATTATTGAAAGAAGCAAAAACACGTGTGTTATCTATGATGCTTCCATAATATACTAAAGGTAAACGGCTAAATATTGTACCAATGGATTTCTCTTATCGAAGACTCGAAACTCGATAATTCTTAATCAGTATTAATGTTGATCACCTCTGTACATGTATAAAATCACCCAGAACGCGTTTTAGTTGCTAAGAACCAAAATACATGTTATAAGATAATTGTTTCAGAAATTGCTAAATAGATTCGGAAAAAGGAATTATCATTTCCAAAGACACCTCCTTGGTCGCGATTGGCAAACAGAAAGCGATCTATCCGAGAGACGGGGCAGAAGCCGGTTATTCGATTAGGATTTAAGGATCTTGCTATAGCAGTGATGACTTCTTAAACGTTTATTATTCGCCTATTTCTCGCGCAGCTGTAGCTAATACATAAGACTCTCCATCTGGTTAATATAGAGACTTCTGTCTCACCGTTATCCATTTATTCCTTCGTCTTTACTGTGCGAATAATTGGTCACTTTTACTTTTCTAATTCCTTAGGCTTGATTCAGTGAATGTCAAAATATAGTGTGTAATATATTCTTTTAGATATGTCAGTCTCCAGATGTGAACCATAAAAAGCATCAATTTTAGACGAGTAAAGCCAGTCTGAAGTGTATTCAAATTAAAGCCATTTGAATGTACTAGTCGCACTTTCAATCAGTAATTTTTTTTAAAAAACATAATTTCTAACTTATTCATTTTTGTGTGTTGCAGAACGAAAAGAACCAGATCATGAAGTCCAACGTGTGGCTTCGGTTGGTGAGTACTTTCTTTTTAGTAAAGCCCTTAACCGTGAGAAGGTGAGATAAAATTTAATACATTTCTCAATTTATAATTATTTGTAACTTCACGTGAATCATTCCAAAATTTCTATGTCACTGCTATATTTTTTATGTACAATTTCGGCAGTTTTACTAATAGAGATTGATATTCACATTGAATTAGGGTCGCAACAAGGACATTTCTAATGAAAATGGCAATAAGTTTAGTGTTTCCGATTGAAGAATTTTTAATTTATGCTGAGTTTAAAATTTATTTTAATTTGTTGATTCACAGTAATTTATAACAATAATATTTATTTGGAATAATTTATAATAATATTAAGAAAAATGTATGTTGTTTCGTGATTTCAAAAGATGTACTCTTGTAAATACGCGTGTTGTAGTTTCTGCGAGTCGAGAGCAATTATGTAATGATTTTTGAAATAACAATTAAATTACCTCCAAAACCTAGTTAATTTATAGTGAGTTCTGTATATCCTTATGCAAGACTCTTAATTGTCGCAGAAATAATTCAAAAGAATTATTGGAAAAAATGTACAACGCTAAATCTTGATGAATTAAGTTTCAAAATTATCTATCATTACTTTTTTACTTTCTCGCCGTTAAAAAGAGAAAGTTATGTAATGCCTCGGGGAAAACGGCTAATTTTCGGCAGAAGAAACTGTTATTTCCAAGTCCTGATAACGAAAAAGTAGATATATCCAGTTGCTAAATTTAGAAAAACATTCTCTAACACGTGGTGTACCCAGAATCCATGTTTTGTTGTGCTTGATCGAATGATGAAAAATCGAATGACGGCAAAAGTCATTCGCTGTGTCTGTCTATGAACAATGCTAGCGGTTAAATCGTTCACCCAATATTCTCCAAAATTGATATTTCCCAATTGACATGGCTGATGTCACGTCCCCTTGAATTTGAAACCAATATTTTAATTTTGGGTGGTATATTACAGCCCTGGGATGTTTTCAAAATTTTCAAAACTTGTCTCCATCTTTTTTGATTAAATTTTGTTGTTCGATAGTGTGAAGGACGTATGAGAGAATGGTTTAGACCTCATGTTCGTAAAAAATCCTGTGTTTTCGAAAATTACAAAACTTCAAAATTTTTTCGACGTCTTTCAGCAACTTTTGAAGATTTGTTTTCATTATTAAATGTGTTCGTCAAAAATAGCTTCAAAAGAAGCCAAGCTCAATATCTCGAAAATATGAGATTTTTTTGCGAAAGTTTAGATGAAACATAGGCGCTTTTAAATCCAAACATTTTCGCAGAAACGGCTTCAAATGATTTTGCCTTTATTTTTATCCTCGTGTGTAGTAAAGAATTGTAAAGATAGTAGCGATGGCATTTTCGATAATTCCTAAAAAGTAAATTAATTGTAAATTCGAATTTCGCGCCCTTCTAGGTGTTGCCAGTTCGGAAAATAGCAACACAGAGGTTTCAAAATTCTTCGAATTTGTCGCATTGTTGTCAGTGATAAGAACTGAATGATGTAGATAATAATATATATTAAAGGAAATAGATTGAAGGATGGGTAATAAAATTTAACTTAGTACTAACAAACACACTTTTATACTTCAAGAAGTTTTAATCCCTGATTAAGGTATTAAGAAATTGAAAGCTCTCTTCAAATGTAATCAAGGTAGGATTGTGTTTCATTTTTAAAAGTAAGAAATGACCACTCTTCCTGACAATGGAAATAAATGAAGATAAGCACGAGAGACGATTAGTTTGAATTAGTTTTTTTTCAAGTTATAACTGAGTTTTAGTATGGCAGAAATTACAATATTTTAATATTACGTAACTATTTTCAATCATGCGAGAAAGTATGTGCTTTTGTAGCATCTCTAGTAATTAATTAGTTTCTTTTATTAACTATATTAATTATTGCAAATAATATGTTAAAAGTTATTCCATTTTGACATACTACCTCACCACCTGACTTACTTTATTCAATGGAAAAGGCTAGAAATACACTCAAGAAGTCTTAAGCTCTCTACGCGAGAAACTAGTAGCCTCGGATATGCATTCTTGGCTATCCGGGATGAGCCGCGTCTCAGTCAATTGTACTGTTTCGGCCATCTTGCTGTGGCCTTCTTCGGGGCTATTCTGCTCAGGATAGTTTGCCTCAGCCTCGGATAGTTTGCATTTAATGACAGAATTTTTGGAAGTCAGGGTTACCATTGACGTTTCCTTTCCCTACCTCAACTTTATACGTGAAAGATGAATAGAAACTAATTAATAGTAACAGTGAGAATCTATCCTCAAATCTTAAAAATCTTTCCAAAAAAATTATATTTAATTTGAGTGCTATGAAATGCTTTGATGTAAAAACTCTTCGTTTCAACAATCACGTAAATGCTATTTAACTAGTTCATACAATTAAACATTTTAATGCTTTCGACAGATGATGACGGTTAAGCACCAAACTCGTTGTACTCAGTTTCATCTGCTCATCTTTATTTAAAGATATAAAATATTTCATTCGTGTCGAAGATAAAAGTTGTAGCAACCAGGAGTTTATTTAATTTATTTATAATGACACAGACATAATGGCGCGCACTTTCTATATAACATAGTAATTTGAGTAATTGTTTCTTGACACTGTGATCCCGTTGACGTAGACCGCTGCACAGTTAGGTGTACCACTGGGCAGATTCATGAGACACTACGAAATGTTCGGCGTATGCGTTGATACTTTCACAAGGAAAGGAACGGGAACAATTATTATAGTCCATTAATTTACTGAAATATAAAATCTCATTGGGTTATACAGTTGTCAATTGACAAAAGTCCTCAAGCCACCAAACTTCTGAAGAATGATTATCGAATCCAATGACATTGAATGTATGGATCTCTACAAACATGCTTTTATAGGAATTTGTAAGATATAAAACAATTAGTGTCTCAAGACTCCGCCTCCCTCGCCTCCACATATCAGCGTTGCCCGACCTCTCCTCGGTACCTGGCGGCAACCTGCGGATGATGCAGCGCCTCAGCGCGGAGCAGAGGGCTGATTACGTAAACCGGGACGACGAATGCAGCAGCGGTGGAGACGGACGCGGTCACTGACTAGGGGTCATGTGATGACCTATGGAAATGAATTGTATCAGCTGCGATAGCTCAGCGGAAGCATTGTTACCCCTATAGCATTGCCTTAGACTTCGTGTCCGGACGATGGTGAATTTCGGAAACTAGCTACACATCTGGGTAAAATGCAGTCATTAACAAATGGGTCATAGACCGATTGCTATCTTCTCTTTCTCATCTGTGTTTCTTCCTCTCCCATACACACTCATTAGCACACACGTACACACACATTCATTATACTATCAAAAATTACCGGTAGACCAGTCGAAGACTTATAGCTTATTCTGGCACAGATCAAACCTCACTGGACAATACGAATCGATACGATCGTATTCATGAAAGGGGGAACCCTTCAAGCCTGACATGTAGGTTGGCGACGGATCTCATGTTCATCTGCCGGGACACAACACACTTCCAAAGCTTAAGTAGTTGACGCACCTTGAGTCAATACTCACACGCACTCTCGCTCCCTTACGAGGAAATGAGTATCGAGGCTGTAAGGAGGGACGCGGCGCGGGTGGGCGGGCAAGGCCCTCTGCGCGTGCCGCCGCCCGTCGATCACGTGACCGCCCGTCACGGCCATTCATCTTGGCGCGGAGACGGTGCTGCAGCTTCGGGAGCGCCGACCCAACGAGTGGGACGCTTTGACCCGCGGCCCCGCCCCCTAGCCAGCTCTCCTCCCACCTCGCTCCCTCTGCTCCTCCCCCTCCCCCAAGCCGCTAGCGTCCCGGGCCTCACCTCAACAACCTCACATTCTCCCGGCCCTGTTCCTCAGCGCTGCCTGTTTTTCTCTCTCTTGACTACTACCGCCACTACACTTACGCTGCCCAGGGCGGAGGCATGTTTGGTGTTCAAGGCGAACGCCTACTGACTTTCTGCCCCTCTCAAGCTTTCCCTACCTCTTTGCTCCTTCCCTTTCTCCCTCCTTCCCTCTCCCCTCTCGCTCCCTCTCTCGCTCGCTCACTCACTCTCTCTCTCACTAGCTCTCATTCACTCCCTCACTCACTCCCTGTATCACTCACTCACTTTCTCATTTTCCTTTTTCCATCCCTCCCTCTCGTCTTGGTCAGCGTCGCATTTCCTCGCCCTACCTCTCCCTTCCTAGCTTTGCTTTGCCCCGGTGGGCTTCGCCTTGTTCCGTCTCCAAATCGCAGTCTACGTACTTCACTCACTTTCTAGGTAAAATAATTAAGAAATCTATACTAAATGAAAAGTAAAATACTTTTTTTTGTTTTAGAAATTATAAAAGATCCTTTTCTGTTGCAAGAAATCGTTCATAATCGGGCATTTTACGGCACAAACGATGACGTATTAGATTTTATATCACGAATGATTGCGTCATCACACATTCAGCTAATCGTAGCGAGAGAATCGGGGGGAGGTAGAGCTAAACGGAACAGCCGACCACCGTTTACTCGCACGATGTCAAAGACCCGAGTCGTCACAGGGAAGTTTTTGTTTTCAAAATTAAGTTTGATTCTCTTATATATGCATAATGCTTTATACAAAAAAAATATAGTACACAACTCGTTTATAATGTTGCTTTATTACATTCGTACAAATTTGAAAACTTACTCCTAAAGTCGCTCGTTTACAAAACATGTCTTCATGCAATAAAGCTTAACATTATAAACTAATTGCATAAACTACTATTAGTGTCGTCTTTGTTTTTTGAGGTTTTGTATATAAGAAGACACACCTCTCTACAACGCAACGAGACACTCTCTCTTACAAAATTCATTCAATCTTCTACAGTTTTAGTGTCTACGTAAGAGTTTACCAGTTTTTGATTCATGTTCTTTTTACAGTAATTTCATATCTCTTTTACGCTTTATTCATCTATGCCTAAATTCAATTAAGATCAATTTCCATCTAACTTTTATCAATATCGTGTATGTGGATAAAAACTAGCAAAGATTCTAAAGTAGAAA